CAACAATCCTCGTCTTCCAATCGATCGTGAACAACAACCCTTCCTCCCTTTTTATCCTTATCCCATCTTGCGTTCTTTATCCATCCACGCGAAACGTTTGTTTGGTATCTCAGCGACTCGAGTGCCTTGTCAAAATGGGTCCAAAAATTGGTCGATTGGGCAGTGATTTCATGTGTTCATAGGCTTAAGATTACGCGTAAGATGATGACGAAATACACGAGCTCGCTTAGGAATTGAAAACGAAAAAAAAGCGTTAATTAATTTTCACGTAGAGAAAGAAGAGATGTTTTTAATTATCACTCGAATTAATAATCCAAGTTTCGTTAGGATTCTCTTAGATAGATTGTTTTTTTTTTTTTTTTAAGTAGTAGGCTTTTGTTTCTCTAATTTCTTTTTTTTTTTTTTGTTGGCGCAGGACGTCATGAGTTTTTTTTTTTTTTTTTTTGTAGATAGGTATTTACTACCTAAGGTGCCTTGAAGAAGGGCCTCGACCTCTCTTTAGCTCCTTGGCCATACGAAAATCTCGGGGACGAGATGGAACGAGCGATCTTGGACAAACAAAGAAAGGCGGCGAATAATTAATCGTAAGAATTGGATCGAAATTTTCTCGCGCCAAACATTCCATCTCGTGAAAAACATTGACTTTAGCGATAAAAAAAATCACAATAAAAATCTATCCCCATCGAGTTTAACCTAACCTCGAGAAAACTTTATCGAAGAAGAAAATTTCTTTAAAGCGTATCTGCTTCTTTTTTTAAAGATCTTTCATATAATGAATGAATAAAAACGGTCGATAAAATCATCTCATTCCAGTTCAAAAGTCGTAGAATTTCTCTAGTGTTCGCAAAAACATTCTATCCCGAACGAGGATGAGATCGCTCGTTCCATTTTCGCCTTTGGCGTGTATACACGCATATACGCGGCGTGTATGGAAGTGAGAAAAAGAAAAAAAAGGAAAAAAAAAAAAAAAAAAAAAAAAAAAAAAAAAAAAAAAAAAAGGAAAAAAAAATGAAAAAGAAAAAGGAACGTAAGAAGAGGTTAGAGGGGTGGTGTGCGCTCTCATTTAAGCCAGGCAAAAATGGCCAGCACAAAACAGTGAACGCAATGTGATACTAAATGATAATAAAGATAAATGATAATTATTGTTTAGCGTGCAAACGCGCTTCGGCGAAACTCGCAGGCTCGTGGCTCTTTCAAATAAAAAAGGAGAAGAAAAAAGAAAATATATATATATACATATACGTATATACATATATATATATGTATATGTATATATATATATATATATTTCGAACGCGAGAGGAAAGAAGAAGTTAAATAGACATCCGATCTTTTTTTTTCTGCGAGCCGCCTAAATAATTTTTTCTAGTAACTAACTTTTCGTCGTTTCTCTTTCCAACCCTCTCTCCTCCCTTCAAACCCCTCGTCCAACCCCCCTTGTCCCCTCTTCTCGATACATAAGCGCACTAGGTTTACGTATATAGATTATTTTACCGTTAATTAGTTACGTTTATTGTGTATACACACACACACACACACACAAATACATACAGAGGACACGTATACGCATACATACACACACAAAAATACACGATACTCGCGGCCAGATGTTTTAAGAAAATACGAAATAATTATTATAAGAGATAAATTATTCTCGATCTTTTTTTTTTTCAATTTTATCACGGAAAGAGAAAAAAAAAATCTTAAAAAATTTGCTCAATATTTTATTCGATAATAATTTTTATACGAGGTCGAGAAAGTGGATAATCGATCGAAGTTAAAATGTTTAAGAATTAATTTTTCGTTAAATCGAAATGGAAATTTATGAAAAGTTTTTTTGGCAGCTTTGTCGGAATGAGATAATAACAATCGCGTTGATTTTTTTCGAATTTTCTCGATTGTTTGTTCTTCGGGCATCTGGCCAGAGTGTCCCCAAGTAGAATTTAAGCATCTTCCGAGCGGAGAAAAACGTTTCTCCGCGTGCTTTCTTAGTGTTCATAGATTTACAAGAAATAAATTAATTGAGATGAGAAAAGAAGATAAAGAAGCGAGCGAAAACAAGTTGGCTCAATATCAATATCCCTTTGCCTTTCCTTCTTCCTCCTTGACGAAGCGAATCATCGATTCATCGACCCGTATCATCCATCTATATATTTACGAAATTTTTAAAAATAGAGTCCACACAATTGCGATTATATAATAATCTCTTTCTTTTTTTTTTTTTTTTTTTTTTTTTTTTTTTTGTTTAATATATAATTCTCGAGAGAATTTTTTCTTCGAGAAGATTTCAATTTCGAAAAGAAAACTCATAACTTCCGTGTTTACTCGACCTAAACAACGACATACTCGCCAAGACGGCGCAATAAAACAAATAAAAATGTCGGGATAAAATTTATCGAAATTGTTCGGTAGCGGTTCCTCGTGGCTTCCATTGGATACCACCATTTATCGGTGTCTCGGTTAGAAGTGTATCTAGTCGAAACTAACGGTTCGACGACCAAGGATTTCATACAAAAAAGAAACCTCGTTGAAAAACCCGTTACGGCCGCCACGGGTTCAGAAACGGTGGCGTATGCTAAAGGCGCCTCGCTCGTTGACACCGGCTCGATTGCATAATTGCAACGCGATAAGTGGTCTTGTTTTCTTCCCTTCCTCCTCCCTCGAAGAAGGAAAACTGAGTTGCTCGCCTAAAGGTCGAGGTTGGTGAAACCGGCTTCGGCGAATAAAACCCCTGCTCTATCAAACCGCATTATTTTCGCAATCTCTCACCAATGTGATATTAGAAAAATATCGAAATATCCTTTTTTTTTTTCATATATCCATTTCGTCGTTGATTATTCGGTCTACATAACTCGCTTGTTTCGGCGAACAAAATTGAGACGTAAAGAAATTTTATTGGGCTGCTCGTAAAGTAATTTCGTTCTTTCACACGAGTGTCACTAGTCGAACGGCCAACTTCATTCTAGAATAGAAATTATTGGGTCGCTCGAAAAGTAATTTCGTTTTCTCGCACGAGTGTCGCTAGTCGAACGTTTATCCGACCAACTTCATTCTAGAATAGAAATTATTGGGTCGCTCGAAAAGTAATTTCGTTTTCTCGCACGAGTGTCGCTAGTCGAACATTTTTCCGACCAACTTCATTCTAGAGTAGAAATTATTGGGTCGCTCGAAAAGTAATTTCGTTTTCTCGCACGAGTGTCGCTAGTCGAACGTTTATCCGACCAACTTCATTCTAGAATAGAAATTATTGGGTCGCTCGAAAAGTAATTTCGTTTTCTCGCACGAGTGTCGCTAGTCGAACGTTTATCCGACCAACTTCATTCTAGAATAGAAATTATTGGGTCGCTCGAAAAGTAATTTCGTTTTCTCGCACGAGTGTCGCTAGTCGAACTGTTTATCCGGCCAACTTCATTGCAAACCATGTTATATATTTCGAGAGCATTGGCAGGATTTCATGGTTTATTCGTAAGAAAAATTCGTTCGATTCCGTGCACGGTTTGTGTTTTTCGCGTGTGACAACGAAGATGAGCAGCAACGAAAATCAAGAGAAGCATTTTCCGCATTATTTTACTTTTATTCTACTTTTTCCTTCCGATAATTTCGACGTTAAATATGTGTCACGTTCTGGAAGATCAATCGAAGCTAACGACAGTCAGAATAAATTGCACCGACGGATCGTACCGACGGATAACAACTCGTGAAATATGAATTTCTCGAATTCGACTGTTCACGATCACGTGAAACGACTCGGTGTTTCATTGTCACGGGGAAAAAAAAAAAAAAAAAACGAAATTACTTTCCGAACAACCGAATCGTTCAACGATAACGTTACAATCTGAAACGACATCCAAAGAAATCTTGGCGTCTCGTCAAATTGTCGGGCTGACACCGATCTCTTCCACCGGTGAATCGGTGAATCCCTTCTTCGAAAAAGTACCGTTCGTTCGAAGAAGAAGAAATTGCATAACAGAGAGTCGGTTGCGCGTGTCGTCCTCATCCTCGTCATTGTCTAGCACAGCCAGGGGTCTTTCGGGTGTCCACCTCGTGAACTTGGTTGCCACCAACGAGCCGTCTAGCAACGTTGACGGCCAATGGCCGTCGTCTGGTGGCCAGAGAGAGAGAGAGAGTACCGTAAGGATATTCACGTGTAAGTAAAACAGAGGGGGATACAGGTGGTGCCCGGTCAACGATCTTACGCTCCCCGGTTCACGTGTATATAAAGAGAAACGGGACGGGCACACGGCAGATCAACAACGGCAGCCATGATCGGCAAGATAGTTCTGTTCCTTTCCGCCTTGGCTCTGGCAGGAGCGCAGATACCCAGTCTGGGCTTCTGCCCCGAATACGTACCCATGGCCAACTTCGACATGACCAAGGTAAACGCAATCCTTTATCCTTATTATCGTCGTTCCCTTTTTTTTTTTTTTTCCTCAATTTCTCGTCGAGATCGATCCAACAGAGAATTTAACTCTTTTATTCTCTTTCTCCCCTCACAGTTCTTGGGCGTTTGGTACGAGGCTGAGAGGTATTTCCAATTGACGGAAGTGGTGTCGAGATGCGTGATGGCCAATTACACGTTGGGGGCAGATGGAAAATTCCGCGTCAGCAACGAAGTTACGAACAGATTGTGAGTATACCTCTCGACTTTTATTTTATTATTTAGATTATAAGAATTATTCATCGAATATTGAAATCTTTCGAACCAGCACGGGGATCAAGAGGGTGTTGGAGGGTGAAATAAAGAAAGCAGCCTCGAAAGCGGAGGAGGGAAAATTGATCGTTAAATACACGATACCGTTGACACCCGAGACCAAATACTCGGTCCTCGAGACAGACTACGAATCGTACGCTGTCCTGTGGAGTTGCTCGGGGATCGGCCCGTTCCACACCCAGAACGCGTGGGTCATGACGAGGGAGAGGCTGGCGCCGGGCACGGTGTTGCAAAAGGTGAATCGTCCTCGACTCTTCTTTCTTCTCTTCGATTATTATCATTCATTATTATTCTTCTCTCCATTATCTGTTCATTACATATCACGACGACATATACATTAAATTATCATATACAGGCGTATGCAGTTCTGGACAAGTACAAGATCTCGAAAACGTTCTTCGTGAAGACGAATCAGGAGGATTGCGCCCTGTTGGACGCGAAACCGTCCCAGGAGCCGCAGGTCGAGGGGGGAGGGGAGAAGCCGGAGGACGTGAGATCGGCGGTGGTCCCGGACGCGCCAAAGGCGATCCTCGACTCGAAAAAGAGCCCCAACAACGAGAAAGCGGCCCACCCATCCGAAAATCCGAGCGAGAAGAAGCCGGCTGCCAACACGGTTCCGGAACGGATCATGGAAGTGGCGGATGCCGTGAAGGAGGAGGAGGAGGAGAAGAAGGAGGCGCCGACGAAAGTAAAGGAGGAGGGGAATGTAGAACGGGCGGAGGAGAAGAAGAAGCTTTGAAAAACTTTAAACTCGTCTTTTAAATCGGTTAATGATAAATTTTCAGCGAGGGAGGGTCGAAATGAAAATTGTAGGGCTTGTAGCGGTCTCGCTTGTTTCGGGACCAGTCTCGCCCGTCGAGTTTCGTCGAGGCATTATCGAAGCTTTCATGGAAGGGAGGGTATATCGCTTATTGTTTTAACTTATGTACAAATGTAAGAGGGAGAAAAAAGAAAAAAAAAAAAAAGAAATAAAAAAGTTGAATAAATTGTTACATAAAACTGACATAAAATCATTGTCTGTTAATTTTTATTACTCCCGAAATTTTTTTCCGAAATCGAGATCGAGACGCGAGAGGATTAGTGAGAAGAGAGAAAAAGGAGAATACACGAGAATCCACGTATTAACCACGTATTAATGATGCAAAAATTAAAAAAAAAAAAAAAAAAAGAAATATTCGAGAAAATATAAAAATTTCGTTCCTCG